TATGAGGAAGGGCGTTTAAAGTAAAAAGTTTACAGATGGACGACGGACAGACGCCGGACAAATTGTGATCACAAAAGCTCAAATTGTAACTTTGTGACAGATGAGCCTAAAATCAGCAAAAATCAAGCAAAATTTAGATATTTGACCTTGAATGTCAAGTTAAGTCTGCCCCTAATTGAAGGTTTTTGTCCCAAGGGATTTTTTGGCTAAGTAATAAGAAAAACATTTTAAACTTAGAATTAAATAAACGTTAAAATTTTTGACAAAAAAGTTTAAAAAAAAAAGGGTTCCGTACTAGCTGAATAGCTTCCTCAATGAAAAAAAATCAAAACCCCCCTGTGGGGGCAAGTGGTTTGGTCTAAGAATGAACCAAATCCATAAATAAATGAACTATGTCAACTAAATTAAATTTCAGTCAGTTGACTCTGAGGATCAAGGTCAATATAAGGTCAAGATCATATCAGAATATGTCAACAAGTATTAGTTTTGTCATATGTCTTCTTTTGTCCAAGTTTAATATCAATATGTAAATAAATAACAAAATTCTGACAATTTAAACAAATTTTAATAACTTACAATCAATTGAAGGTCAAGGTCATATCAGACGTGTTCATCATGTCAGTATTGTCATAAGGTTTGTTTGGTTACAGTATAAATAAAATTCATAATTTATTGACAAAGTTATGACAATCTAAGCAAAAATCAATCTTTGACCTGGACAGTCAAGGTCATATGAGATAAAGGTCATATTTGAATTACATGCCAGTTTGCTACACATGCTCTCTAGCCCAAGTATACATCAATTATTATGAATTAATAACAAACAATTTAATTGTTGCTAAATTCACTAATTTGACCTTTAGTGTCCAGGTCAAATTAAGGTCAATGACAACTTCATTTAAATCTTTTATGCCTGGTCACATAGATTATTGTGCTTAAGTATGAAGACAATCCGTTAAAAACTAACAAATTTATAGCCAATTATAGCAAAAACTGAAATCAAATATTTACGTCATTTACGAGTCAACGTCAAATTGGGTTTGGTCTACCTTAAAACATTGTCCTTTAGGTAAATGCTCTCAAGTATGAAGATATTCCATTTATAAATATCACAGTATAACCGTTTATACAAAAATAAAGTAAAGTAAAAAAAATGACCTTCAATGTCAAGGTTTTTCATGGGCAGATAGGCATAATTGATTAAGTGTTCATAAAAATCTCATCCCACAGATTGTTGTGTCCAAGTTTGAAGACAATCTATTCATAATTGCAAATTTATAGCAAATAGTAGAAGAAGAAGAAAATTCTATATTTTAACCTCAAGGTCAAGGTCATTGATGCAAAAAGGTTATAATCAATTTGGTCCTGTCTTAAATACGATTGTGTTTAAGTATGAAGACAATCTTTTCTTAAATAATAAAGTTATACCCAATTATAAAAAAAAAGTTCATAAGTGTAGGTCATGTTCAGTCCGGTCCACATCCAAAGGTTGTTGTGTCCTAATATGAGACTAAGAACATTATGATCAACATGGCAACGGCAATAACAGCAGCATCTAAAAAATGACTATAGCAATATTTGCTCTTTTTTTCTTCGAAAAAGCTCAAGCAAACAATGTAATATGATGACTTTCAATACAAACTGAACAAAAGCCATGTTAACATGGCCATCCCCCGTCAAATGTGTTTGCTCATTGGAAGATTATGTATTACAGCAGAATAATTCAATTTAAAGAGTTTTTTTGGTAATGAAAACTGAGAAAATAATGCAGGGTAGCCTAGTTTATCATTCTTGTGTGCTGCACTCCTCCTCAATGAGATCTATCCACCTATGAAGTTTCATGTTGATACCTCTAACACTTTTTGAGATAAACTCTGGACAAAAGGTATGAAAAATAACAAAGGGCAATAATTTAAAAATTATGAAGGGTAGAGTTATCACTCTTGTGCACTGCACTCCTCCTCAATATGATCTATCCATTATGAAGTTTGAAGCTGATACCTCCAATACTTTTTGAGATATGCTTCGGACAAAAATGTGGGACAGAAGGATGGACAGATGGATGGACGGACATACTTTCGAAATGGTACTTATGTGGCTTTTCCTTTGATTTTTTTAGTCATTTTTAGTCAAACAAGGCTTAAAAAAGACACACAAGTAAAACCGGAATGAATAGGATCAAAGAAAATTTACTGTTACCCCTTGTTCTCGAAGTAACACAAGTACCTCTGGGTTTGTACTGACGGATGGACAGACAGACGGATGGACAGACAGACGGATGGACGGAAGATCGGACAGAGGCTAAGTTATATTTTGAGTTTCAAGTGAAAACTTTATATTGTAAAATAAGCATCAAAAACTAGAACTATTGCTGAATGCCATTCATACCCCCACCGATGTCCTTGACAAGAGACGACTTGGAAAGGTGGTTAAGGGAATAACTTTAGTGGCACAAATACATGTACATAAAAAGAAATTATCTCTGGTGAAAAAAGACAAATTGTACAGGTAAAAGTATAAATATATATTGTCAATTCATGTTCGAAACAGTTACAAATAACCTTTCATTTTCCCAATGTACTAAAACAAACAAAAGCAGTGAAGTTAAGAAAATAGCATAATTACTGTATGTCAAAATATAATTAAGAGTGGAAAAACTTTGCATACTGAGCTTACTTGTGACCCTTCATATATTATATATTTCAAGTAAATATCTGTTCTAGTTTCAGAAACATTTAAGTATTAATGGTTATATCAGAACATTTTCTAAGCCTAAAAGGGGCATAACTTGTGTCATAATTCAATGGAATTGTAGAATTTTGGCCTTCTGAGCTTGCTTGTAACCATTCATATAAATTTTAAGTTTCAAGTAAATATCTGTTTCTGGTTAAAATATAGTAGAATGTAGAAATATTATAGTAAATAAATTTAAAGACATAAAATTGGACTTAAACTTTATCCAAAATACAATACAAAGTTAACCCCCCCCCCCCCCCCTTTTTTAGTTATGAAACTTGACCTGCATATCTTACTTGCGACACTTCGTATCGTATGTATTTGAAGTTACATTCAAATGATTATCTGTTATAGTTTTAGAAATATTCAAGTACATGTTAAAATTTCAGAACATTTTCTAAGTCAATTTTTGACCTTCAAGTGTGGCCTTGACTTTAAGCTGGCACAAATGTAAGATAAATTCTGCACATTGCCCAGTTGGGGTGAACATTTGAGTCAAGTTTGAAGAAAATCCTTCCATTAGTATAGAATTTATAGAGCAGACACGACATATTGTCTAGTATTGATTGTATGTAAATTTAAAGACTTAAAAAGAGGCATCACTTTGCCAAAATGCAATACAATGTACAGAGTTATGAAGCTTGAGCTGCATATTTTACTTGTGACACTTCATATATCTTTTAAGTTTCAAGCAAATACCTGTGCTAGTTTCAAAAATATTCTAGTACATTTTAAATTTAAGAACATTTTCTAAGGCAATTTTTGACCTTCAAGTGTGACCTTGACCTTAAGCCAGCACAAAGGTAGCATAGGTTCTGCACAAAACATTGTTGAGATGAACATTTGAGTAAAGTTTGAAGAAAATTCTTCAATTAGTATAGGATTTATAGAGTGGACACGACATATTGTCTAATATTTGATTGTATATAAATTTGAAGACATAAAAAGGGGCATAACTTTGTCAAAATGCAATACAGAGTTATGAAACTTGACCTGCATACCTTAATTGTGACACTTCATAAATATTTTAAATTTCAAGCAAATACCTTTTCTAGTTTCAGAAATATTCAAATACTTATTGTCCAATATGTTTAAACAAGTTGTTCTGTAGTAGAAGAGGTTTTTCTATTTTAGCTCTGTTGACCCCAAAAGGGGCCAATTGAATTGACATGAGCAAATTCAAGTGTGGCCTTCACAAGGATGCTACAGATCATTTGAAGTAAATCTGCGCAGCAGTTTCAGAGAAAAAGACGATTGTTGACGCATGACGACCGGCGACGGACGCCGGAGTATCCCCCTTTGATACTAATAGCTCACCCTGAACCTTCAGTTCTGGTGAGCTAAAAAGGGTAATATAAAATTATAAAGGGTAGAGTTATCATTCTTATGCACAGCATTCCTCCTCAATAAGATCTATCCACCTATGAAGATTCATGTTGACATCTCAAAGATGCTCCACTCAGGTATGAAAAATAACAACGGGCACTAACTAAAAAATTATAAAGGGTAGAGTTATCATTCTTGTGCACTGCACACCTCCTGAGTGAGATCTATTCACCTATGAAGTTTCATGTTGATATCTCAAAGGCTTTTTGAGTTATGCTCTGGACAAAAATTAAGTTTGAAAAATAACAAAGAGCAATAACTGAAAAATTATGCAAGGTTGTTATCATTCTTATGCACTGCACGCCACCTCAATATGATCTATCCTCCTATGAAGTTTAAAGTTGATACCTCAAATACTTTTTAAGATATGTTCCGGACAAAAATGTCAGAAGGACAGATAGACGGATGGATGGACGGATGGACGGAAGGACGGAGACTATTACTATATCCCCAGCCAACTTTTGGGCGGCGGAAAATAATCACATTCAGCTATATAATAAACTTAGTGATAATAAATGATTTCTGTATGTGCAAGGTTTTATATTTATCAGTAAACTAAATGTGTGCATTTATTAAATTATAAAGAATCTACTTTATAAGTGGATTCTTTATAAGTGGATTATATGCGTCACAAAAATTGTGCGAATATCAAAAGGTGGACTTTTTTATGTGCGGAAATATTTTGTGAAATATTATTCTTGAATTTAAATACTGTTTTGTGATATCATTATTAAAGAGGTAAATTTTAAGAATATCCTGTTATTGTAAACGTCTACTCAGTTGTATTTATATAATTGTTGATAAAGGACCTGATCACACATTTCTTTGCCATATTTTGAATTTGTTTGATATATGAACAACCTATTGTGTTATTAATACATATATTGTTTCATTTAATGATTTGTGATTTGTTTAAAACAAACTTAGACAAACAAGCTATGAGAAGAATTAATCTCAGTGCCTGAACTTATTCATGTAATATGCTGTAGTGTATGAAAACGTGTTTTCAAATGACAGAAGGAAGTTTGCCTATTAATAAATAATTGTTGCGCTATTAAATATTTGCGATCAATTACAATTCGCAAAAATCGCAAATATTTCAACATCCTAAAATAAACCACTTATACAGTATTTTAAACTACTTGTTTTGTTAACTGAAAAACTTTGGTAATTTACATCTATCAGCTTCTGTTTGGCATTTTGTGCATGCACGTCTGTAGCTAAATATCCGGCATCAGAAAGAAGTTGTTGAAATACTGTGAAGCAGTGATGTAGGTCTTCATCCTCTACCTCTAAACTTGGTGAGCGTCTCAATTTCCTAGCGATTTCTCTTGCCTGGTAAATTTAAAACATTCAAATCAAATCTACAATAATCTATATGTATCTAAATTAAATTTACAGCAAGATTGCATTTGTGAAACAAGAACGTGTTTGTTAAACACAAATGCCCACGGCTCCGATTCTTGTCAGTAGCAATATTTCAAAAAAGGTTTACCCATTCACTAAGTTATGGACAGAAACATTGCCAAAAAATTGTAAACACAAGTTATATAGCTTGACAGAGTCATGGCATTTTGTAATTGTGAAATATATAAGTCGCCAAGTCATTGCTATGACTTGTGAAGTGATAAATATTCAACTTTATCAAATATATATAAATATAAGAAATCTATACTTGGCACCCTTGACCTTGACCCACTGACACCTATAGAAAATCATGCAAGTTATCTTCCTACCAAATATGAAATACACCTGTCAGTAAATAAAGGCTTTATGGGCAAAAATGTTAAAATCTATTTTGAGCATTGATGACCTTGACCAAACTGACCCCTAACTCCATCCAAAGGAAGAATACCATGCAAGTTATCTTCCAACCAAATATGAAATAAATCTGTCAATAAATAAAGGCTGTATGGGCAAAAGTGTAAATATCTATTTTTAGCACTTGTGACCTTGACCCAACTGACCCCTAACTTCATCCAAAGTAAGAATAACATGCAAGTTATCTTCCTACTAAATATGAAATATATCTGTCAATAAATAAAGGCTCTATGGGCAAAAGTGTAAAAATCTATTTTTGGCACTAGTGACCTTGACACACTAATCCCTAACTCAATCAAAAGGAAGAATACCATGCAAGTTATCTTCCTATCAAATATAAAATACACCTGTCAATAAATAAAGCCTGTATGGGCAAAAGTGTAAAAATCTATTTTTAGCACAAGTGACCTTTACCCACTGATCCCTACCCCAATCAAAAGGATGAATACCATGCAAGTTATCTTCCTTCCGAATATGAAATATATCTGTCAATAAATAAAGGCTGTATGAGCAAAAGTGTAAAAATCTTATTTTTAGCACTGGTGACCTTGACCTAACTGACCACTAACTCCATCAAATTTTATGTTCCTATCAATTATAAATGACATCTGTCTATAGAATATGGTTAATACACCTGTAAAAATGTAAAAATCTATTTTTAAAATTGGTGACCTAGATATTGGTGACATTGACCTTGACCCAAATGACCCCTTACTATACCCACAGACGGAGGACCTCCCTTGGCATGTTTGTATTAAACATGAAAGACATCAACCATAAAATAAAGGTTGTAAGAGCAAAAATGTTAAAATTTATTTTCTAAACCAGTGACTTTGACCTTGACCCTAGAGACCACTTACACTACAAAAATTAGAGGACCATTTAAGTTTTCCACATACCAAATATGAAAGATATCATTAAATAAATTAAGCAATAAAGAGAAATTTAAGATAATTCAAACTTGCCATAATAGGTTAACCAGACAAGGCCCTATTTTCAAAGTGAAAAAAAGGAAGTAACTGGGAAATATGGATGACAAAGTTATATTACTTGGCAATATCATATACTTTGTATTGATAAGTAAGCGTGGAAATTATAAAGCCATTAGTATAGATAGAACTTTAGATATTTCCAACTTGCCATTTTAGGTTAACCATTATTCATTTTCTAAGTGCTGAAAAAGGGCAATAACTTGGTAAATATGGAAGCCATAGTTATGTAACTTGCCCAGATCATGTACTTTGTATAAATAAGTAAGTGTGTAAACTAAGAAGCCATTGGTACAGGTAGAACTTGTTCTAGGTTAACCTCGTACGGACAGGCGGACAGACGGACGGACGGTTCAATTACTATATGCCCGGGGCATAAAAATGCTATGCCACCGCATTAATATATTAGAAGTTCGAAAAAACTGAACTTTGCCATTATAATGCAGTAGTGTCTAGGAAATTTTAGGGTCAAGTTTTAGAGACAAAAGCCATAGTGCAATAATTAATTCAAAAATTAAAGATTTTTTACTTGACAAAATTAGGTATTGTATTACATCGCTGAATTAAACTTTGAAATAAAGGTAAACCACTTGTTCTTAAATACATGTACTATCTTTTCAATTAAGCATTACCAATATCTACAAACATAAAAGCATTTACGATTTACAATCATTACTATATACATGGTATGAATCATAATGTCCTTATAATGTGATCAAATTATTTCATTAAATATCCTGCAAAGCTCACATCTCTCAATCATTTCATAAATATCTCTAAAAAGCAAACATTTCTTTAGCTAGAAGTCATGACCCTTAGACTAACTCCCAGCTATTGAATATTTTAATAGAAAAATTGGTTATTATGTATAAGGCCAATTTTTTTTTATATTTTGGTTTACTGATTTTTTCCAAAAAAAGGTAGGGTCGGCGGCGGCAAAAAAAAAAAAAAAAAAGAAAGTTTTCATAACTATAAATGTGGTGCATACATATACATAGTACTTACTAGAGCAATGAAATTAAATACATCGCCGATTGTCTATTCCAAAGATTGTTTAAATACACAAAAAAAAACTTTTGCTCATATTGCCATTGTTTAAAAACACACATGAAATCTACACACAATGACTTTTGACAAGTGGCAAGCGAGCTCTTCAAAAGAATCTGTCATTCTTTGATGTTTACACACTGCTGTGTAATCTGAATCATCAAAGGTGCCGAAAATCAGCTGACTTGCACTCATTTCTTTATAGATCAGATGTTAAAAAAAAAGTGTCAAGAAAAGATTACACAAAGTCATGTTCAATTTTGCCCATTGTGAAAATATTTTTATCGGATAAAAAGCAGGTCAATTTTTGACATAAAAATCTATTTTAAGTAAGTGCGGGCATTTTTTTTATTTTGTTTGTTTGAAAACCTGTATTCAATCTGCTTTTAAAGACTATTTTTTTTTTTGTTAAATCTGAAAATACTGATCTTGTCAATTGCAGCAGATTTCTGTCGCTCTGTCCTTGAATGTAATTGCTTACGTAATTTGGCGTGTTTTTTTTGTTGGTTTTTTTTTACATTTTTACGCATTTCGACCTTCAATGCATTGATGAAATATGATCAAAGCCTAATTATAATTCTGTGAGAATGGCTTGACCCCATTTAACAGACATTCTTTCATAATACACCAATAAACACTTTCCCCAACTAGCAGACGACAGGCTATTCTCGAGTAAAGATAACCGGTTGCGTATCTCACTGTATAAATCGTATGTAAAATAGTCTGGCATATGGTAGGTTTAACAGTTAATTAAAATACTTACCGCGACATTTCTTTGACAAGTCGTTATTAGCAGCGTATTTCAAGACAACACAGAATTTTTTTTGGGGCAGATTTTTTTTTTTTTCATTTTCCCAAAATACAGAGTCGGCGGGTCAGTAAACCGAAATATCAAAAAATAATGGCCTAAAAGACATTCCAATATAGGGTGTTTCCCTTCAGACAAAAAGACTTTTAAGTACATAATGAAAATCAAAGACCCTCAGGGTAGAGTCAATTTTGGCCCAAGAGGTATAATTTGAATTAGGGTTTACTATATACATATAAGGAAAACCTATGTCCCCCTGGGTCGGATCAATGTTGATACTTAATTTTTAAAAAATTTGGTAGAGGACCTATAGATGATATTTTATACAAAATATCAAAACTATCAGTCTTGTACCTTTAGAAAAGAAGATTTTAGATTAAAGTTTTTAGTAAATGTAGTAAATAAAAATCAATGACCCCCGGGCAGGGCAATTTTGACCATAGGGCTACAATTTGAACAATCTTGGTATAGGTCAACTACACAATAATTTATGCTGAATATATATTACATTAACTCTAGCATTGGTCACTACAGATAAGACTTTTTAAGCTTTTACAATACACATATTAAGAAAATATATGACCCACTGGGTGGGGCCTATTTTGACACTATAGGGGCCAAATTTGAACAATTTTGAAAGAGGACCAATAGATGATAATTATTATATACCAAATATATAAGCTCTAAAACTTGTACCTTCAGACAAAAAGGTTTTTAAGTTTTTCACTATATGTACATGATAAAAAACAATGACCCCCAGAGCAGTGCCAATTTTAACCCCAGGGGTATAATTTGAACCAACTTGGTAGTGATTCAATAGACAATGCCTAGTGCAAAATATCTTGGGTCTAGACCTTGTGGGTCATTACAAGAAGATGTTTTAATTTTTCTTATAATTTCGTTTGGTTGCAATGGCAACAGATCCATCAGGAATCAAATTCTTTGGACAATGTGAAAGCCCTTCACCCAAGGAATAATTCTGCCAAGTTTTGTTGAATTTCGTCTTTTTAGAAGATATTTAAGTTCAATATATAATCTATAGAACACACACACATGCTCATGTAGACACGCGCACACTCACACACACACACACACACACACACGTGAATCGCTATATGCCACCGCATCCCAAATGCTGCGGTGGCATAAAAAAGAAATAATCTAAAATTAGATGAAATGAATAAAGCACTGTTAGCTTTAAATGATAAAACATGGTTAGCTTTCTCACTTCTCTATATTGGATATAGGGACTTTCGGTTCTTAGATTCTTGTGAGGACTACTTAAGTGCCAATTCGTGCCTAATACAAGGAAGAGCACCTAAGGTCTTCCTCCTCCAGTAAAACTGTAAAGTCGCCATGTCATAAACTGGTTGAAAGAAGAAAGAGACAGTATAAAACTTATCAGAAATGTTTACTTACAATTAAGTGATTTGATTGACATTTTTTACAAGTTTATTACATAGATGTATTATAATGACTACTTTATTCAAAAGCTGTAATAAAATGTAGTTTACCTGTTCAAAAATGTTGTTCTTGTTGCCTAGATTTTCGTGTATTTTCATCTGAAAGTTTTTGTAATAAATGATGACACTAATGATGCCATTGAAGCCTATTTCTTGTGCACTAGCTACATCTTTATATCCATCAGGGGGCATGAAACATTTAGCTATCTCCCAGGAATTACTGCACCACTGTGTAGCATCAGTATTTTTGTATGATGGACCATAGTACCTATGCGCATTCTGTATCTCAGTTGTGAAATTATGACATATCTTGTTAGGACAGCCGACAGGATTATACCTTGTTGCAGCATTTCTATGATAAATGCATTTTCCATGTCTAACTTTGCATATTCTATCTGTTGGACATCTAATAACATTTTCCGTACAGCAATCTGAACACACTGTCCCACTAAATAGTCCATTGATGTAACATATATCATCTAAACATTTCAACTGAAATTCTTGAATTTCATGACATACAAAAGGTGCAAGTCCGTCCCGAGTTATCAACACTGCTAACTGAGCTTTAACAAAGTTATTATATTTTTTTTCTAAACGTTTTGTGCTATATGAAGCCATTGCTTATTTTGTTTTACAGAGGTAACATTATCCCATTGTTGAATGTCAATCTTATCTGAAAAATAACAATAACTGGTGTTTACGTGTAATTTATTCAGTTTCAAAATATAATTAACCTTTGAAATGATGTTTAACTATCTTAAACAAAAGGTCCATAATGGCCCCGGTTCGCTCACCAGAAACAACTGCTTTTCAGTGTTTGAAATTATCCATTGTCAATATTTTCTAAAATCAAATTTGAGCATAGAATATCTTTAAACAATAATTTGAAGAAATGCCATGACCTGGGGCATTTAAGCTTTACCTTAAACAGGACCAATCAAATTAATTTTAGCAAACTTCAAGAATGCTACAGACAAAGTTTGGTGATCATCCATCAATAACTTCTGTAGAAGAAGATGTCTAAAGGTCTTTCTATTTTTAGCTCTAGAGACCCCTAAAAGGGGCTAATCAAATTAATATGAGCAAACTTGATAAAATACTACCTAAGAATGCTACAGACAAAGTTTCGTGATCATCCATCAATTAGATCTGTAGAAATAGACATTTAAAGGTATTTCTATTTTTAGCTTTAGCAGCCCCTAAAAGGGGCCAATCAAATTAATATGAGCAAACTTGATAAAAGACTTCCGAAGAATGCTACAGACAAAGTTTGGTGATCATCCATGAATTAGTTCTGTAGTAGAAGATGTCTAAAGGTTTTTCTATTTTTAGTTCCAGAGACCCCTAAAAGGGGCCAATCAAATTAATAATTAAAAAAAGTAAATACTACAAAAGTAAATATCAGAACTGTTTGTTTTCACATGCTAACTTCAATTTTTAGCTAGACTATACGAAGTATATGGAGAGCTGTCCTACTCGCCCCGGCATCGGTGTCTGCGTCCAGATTTCAGGTTAAAGTTTTGGTGCAGTAAAATATTTTTCACTATAACTTTTTCATTTCTTAAGGGATCAACTTCAAACTTTAAATATAGGTTTCTTATCATCAACCACATCTTATTTGACAAAGTTCATAACTCTAGCACCAACAATTTCAGATTCATTTCCCCTTGAACTTAGATTTTTCCTTAAAAAGTACTATTTTTTACTGTTACTTCTTTATTTCTTAAGGGATCAACAGTTACTTCATACTTTAAATATATGTTCCTTATCATCAACCACATCTTTTGTGACAAGGTTCACCAATATTTTCAGATTTATCTACTCTTGAACTAAGAATTTTTCTTAAAAATATTATTTTTTACTTTACTTCTTTATTTCTTAAGGGATCAACTTCAGACTTCAAATATATGTTCCTTATCATCAACCACATCTTATGTGACAAGGTTCATAACTCTAGCACCAATATTTTCAGATTTATCTACCCTTGAACTTAGAATTTTCCTTAAAAAATATTATTTTTTACTGTTACTTATTTATTTCTTAAGGGATCAACTTCAGACTTCAAATGTATGTTCCTTATAATCAACCACATCTTACGTGACATGGTTCATAACTCTAGCACCAATATTTTCAGATTTATCTACCCTTGAACTTAGAATTGTCCTTAAAAATATCATTTTTTACTGTTACTTATTTATTTCTTAAGGGATCAACTTTATACGGTTACTTCAAATGTATATTCCTTACAATTAACCACATGTTATGTGGTAAGGTGCATAACTCTAGCAACAATATTGCAAGAATTATCTCCCCATAAACTTAGACTTTTTTTACTTGAAAAAAGTTATTTTTTACTTTAACTTCTTTAGTTTTAAAGGTGTCTACCTCATACTTCAAACACTTATTCCTTATCATCAGTTACATCTCATGTGACAATGTTCATAACTCTTGAAGCAATATTTTCAGATTTATCTCTCTTTTAACTTGTCTTTAAGAAATATTATAACTTCTTTACTTTTTAAGGTATCTACTTCATACATCAAATATATATTATTATCATATATATTATTATTATCAATATATATTATAATTATCAATATATATTATTAGGGTCAGGTACCAGTCCATCAGCACTGATAACATGACCGAAATATTTAACCTCTGTTAGACCTATTTCCAGTTTGTCTGGGTTAAATCTTAAACTGGCTGCCTTTGCTCGGTCGAGTACATTCTTAAGGTTTCTGTCATGTTCCCAAACACTAATAAGTTGTCAATTATTGATGTCACACCCTATAAACCTTCAAATGTCTCGTACATTTTCCGTGGGAAAATGTCTTGAGAACTTCTTATGCCCATAGGAAGTCTTAAATATATTATACCATCCAAATATTTGTTAAATGTCGTGAGTGACGATTAGTGGTCGTCTAACTTAATTGACCAGTAGCCTTTGGTCGCGTCTAATACACTGAAGTATTTAGCGCCATGCAATTTTGACGTAATGTCGTCAATAGAACGTAATGGATCAGTATTATTCAGAAACCTATGCCGGCGACTTAATTGACAATTTTATTATACAGTGATATTATAGTTCTCTATAAAAAATATTCTTTTAATATAGCATATTTTTTACATTTTATATCAAACAAGCAATTATCAAAGTACTGTAAGAGATAATAAAGACGCCTCCCGGTTAGAACCCCACGAGAAAGTACGTCAGCAACATTCTGAAGGACCATGGCCATTCAATTATAACATAATGGAAGACATGAATGGACTTTATAGTCCTTAGTTTATCTGTATCATAGTAATGGTATAATAAGGAAATTATGTTTATATTAAACTAGAACTCCGCAAGTCGGATGTGTTGCCTTGTGAACAATATAGTTTAGGAGAAATGGCTGGGACAAATATGAAAAATGAAAACTAACAAAGGGCAATAACTCAAAAAATAATAAGTGCAGAGCAGCAGTTTCTGTGTACTGCACATCTTATCAATAAGATCTATCATTCTATGAAGTTTCAAGTCCATATCTTTTATAATTTATGAGAAATAGCCTGGACAAAAATAAAGTATGAAAATTAATAAAGGGTAATAACTCACAAATAAGAAGTGCAGAGTACCGGTTCTTGTACACTGCACATTTTCTTAATGAGATCTATCATCCTATGAAGTTTCATGTCCATAGCTTTCATACTTGAGGAGAAATGACCAGGACAAAAATAAAGAAAGAAAATCAACAAAGGGCAATAACTCAAAAAATAAAAAATGCAGAGTATCAGTTTTTATGCACTACACTTCTTTTTAATGAGATCTATCATCCTATGAAGTTTCAAGTCCATAGCTATCATACTTTCGGAGAAATGGCCCAGACAAAAATTAAGTATGAAAATTAACAAAGGGTCATAACTCAAAAATTAGGCAGTGCAGAGTACCGGTTCTTGTGCACTGCACTTCTTTTTAATGAGATCTATCATCCTATGAAGTTTCAAGTCCATAGCTTTTTTAGTTGAAGAGAAATGGCCCGGACAAAATCAAAGTATGAAAATTAACAAAGGGCAATAACTCAAAAATTAAGAACTGCAGAGTACCAGTCCTTGTGCACTGCACTTCGGGTTATTGAAAGAAGCATGCATACCAAGTTTGAAGTCAATCAGACTTATAGTGACTGAGTTATGCTCCGGACAAGCTTTAGGGGACGCCGACACCGACAACGACACCGACGCCGCCGACAGAAGTAACCCCTATATGTCGCCTTTTCAAGGGGACATTTCCATTTGCTAAACAAGGTAGGAATATTAATATTTCTCGCAAGAGCAATGGTCATTTCTGTATATTTTGTTCCAAAAGTCAATTTGAACAATTTCTTACAAATATTTACTTCTTGTAAAATAATACTTAGTCAGATGCACAAAATATTAATGCTGGTGCTATTTTTAGAATCACTTATGAATCTACAAAAAAATTAAGTGTCACTAATAACATTTAATTATTAGGAAGAGTTAAAACTGCATTTTGTCTTTGTATTAATGTTTACAAATGTATATTTTTCTGATAATACTTGAGTATAATATTATGTTATGATGTAAATACTTTAGTGAGTAGTTTAAAAAAAAAAAATTAATAAATAAATAAATATCTTTCTATGACCCATATTTTTAAAAAATAAATAGATTCAACTTTGGGGTCCAAAGTAAAAGAACCAGAGAGGATCTGTTATGATCCATATTTTGACATTATGAATGATTGTAATAGTAAACATCACAATCATTATTTTTAAAATAGATATTTCATATTTTATAACAAAATCTTTGTTTTTAAATGTAGATTTCAAATATAATAGTTTCATTTTGGTAACTTTGAAATAGTTACAATTTTACTTAAAAATAGTGTTTTTCACTTTAGTTTTGTTTAAAGGGAAAAACAAGGTTAGAATAAAAACCTGATTTCAGAAAATGAATACTATAAATAATAAATCTGCAAATTTTCTGCCGCCAAATAATAATATTAAACGAATGATAACGAAATTTAAATGGCTAAATCACCGATTTCTACAAATCAGTAGGCGCGGCCATGTTTGTGTATTGGCCGTAGAAAAACAGGTGCGCGTGATGTCATTTCCCCACAGCTGTCTAACAAAGACTTGTTAAAGTAATTTTATAACAAGCTTTACAGCCAAGATACAATAAGCACTTAATTAAACAAACAAGTCTTGATAAGCAGTCAGCTCCTTTCTTTTCGATTCTTATCTAAATGCCTAAATATATGGTTAAACAAAAATAGTAACTTTTGCAGGAAATCATCCTAATGTTTCCTTCTTAGGACATTTTATACATTAATGTTTATTTGCATATGGTTTAACAGTTGCATATGGTTTAACAGAGTTGAACAAAACTTCCAGCTTCAACTGTTCCAGTATCATTCGAAAATTGGACGTTGAAGAATGAACTGATTTTTAATTTATAAAGTGTTAACTCTGTTATTCCAGGTATGTACTTTTATTATTTTGCATAATTCATTAAAGTTTGTAAAATCTATTCCAAATATGTAAATTGATATAATTTGTTAGGTTCTATGTAATAGTAATATTATAATTATTTAAATTGTTAAAATGGTACCTCTTATGCAAAGTGAGTTATTAATAAAGCTAGTTTCCCCATATTTGTTAATTATAA